GCCGTGTGCGGGCCTCTCACTGTTGTGGCCTCTCCTGTTGCGGAGCACAGTCTCCGGACGCGCAGGCTCAGCGCCCATGGCTCACGGGCCCAGCCGCTCCGCGGCATGTGGGATCCTCCCGGACTGGGGCACGTGTCCCCTGCATAGGCAGGCGGACTCTCAACTACTGCGCCACCAGGGAAGCCCAATCTTACTTTTAAGTGAGTTATTATGTTAAGGGCCTGGCCCATAGTAGGCACTACGTAAGATTTATTTATTTATCTATCTATCTATTTATTTATTTAGAAGTAGAAAAGAATAACTTTATTGCTTTGCCAGGCAAAGGGGGCCACAGTGGGCTAATGCCCTCAAAACTGTGTGTCCCGACCTGGAGGGGGTAGTGAGGACTTTTATAGTAATGGTTCAAAGAGGCCGTGATCAGCTTGTGGACATTGTTCTGACTGGCTGGTGGGGAGGTAAGTGGGTGTCAGCATCATCAGCCTTCTGGTTCCAGCTGGTCTGGGGTCTCCGTGATTGATGGCAGCGTGCAGTTAACTTCTCCCACCTGGTGGGGTTTCAGTGTTGTCATCCGAAAGCTGGTGGGGAGGTCAAGTCTAGCAGCTCGGATGTTGAAAGCAGTCCATCGCTGTGTGCTGTTTATCACTGCAAGTGTTGGAGGGTCTCCTGTAGAGGCGGGGGACGGCTGTGTCTCACCGTGAGAACAAGGACACTGGCAGCACAAGTTCTGTGAAGGACTCCTTGGTGTGAGCCCTCCCAGAGTCTGCCATTAGCCCCACCCCAGAAGTGCTTTTCTCTTTGCGGTACGCGGGCCTCTCACCGTCGCGGCCTCTCCCGTTGCGGAGCACAGGCTCCGGACGCGCAGGCTCAGCGGCCATGGCTCACGGGCCCAGCCGCTCCGCGGCACGCGGGATCTTCCCGGACCGGGGCACGAACCCGCGTTCCCTGCATCGGCAGGCGGACGCTCAACCACTGCGCCACCAGGGAAGCCCCAGAAGTGCTTTTTAAGTATAAACAAATAAACTTCCTCCGGGGCCTTGGGTGAGTATTCAGAGAACTGAATTAGCCAGAAGATTTCAACTGTCAACTCTCCTTCTTGTTTAAGCTTGGTAATAAGTTCTAAATCATTTTAGTATATGTGATAAACGGAAGTCTTTTCGTGAATATTTATTGTCTTATTTTGATATAATTTCCGACTTAATGAAAAGGCAAAAGAAGAGTACAAAGAACTGCCGTGTAACCCTTTACCCTGAGTCACCAATTGCTTGCATTTGTTTGTTTTGTGTTCATTCATTCATTCACTCTTCCCTTCCTTCCTTCCTTCCTTTCCTCTTCCCTTTTTCATGTCTATTTTTTTTCCTCAGGATCATTTGAAAATAAGTTGGAGACATTTGCCCCATTATTCTTAAATATTTCAGGGTGTATTTTTAATAACAAGGACATTCCCTCTCCTTTTTTTCTTTGTTTTTCTTTTATTATTTTATTGAAATATAGTTGATTTACAATGTTGTGTTAATTTCTGTACAGCTAAGTGGTTCAGTTATACATATATACACATTCTTTTTTTAATATTCTTTTCCATTACGGTTTATCACAGGATATTGAATATAGTTCTCTGTGTGACACAGTAGGACCTTGTTGTTTATCCATTCTGTACATAATAGTTTGCATCTGCTGACCCCAACCTCCCAATCCATCCTTTCCCTAACTTCCTCCTCTGTAGCAATCATAAGTCTGTTCTCTAAAGGACATTCTCTCTCTTAACTGTAATACAGTGATCAAAATCAAGAAATTTAATGTTGATACAACACTGGAATTTAATCTATAGGCTGTATTTAGAAATTTTTAATTGTCCCAGTAATGTCCTTTATAGCTATATGTGTGTAAACATATGTGTGTGTGTGTGTATGTGTGTATATATGTGTGTGTACACGCAGTTCATTCTGAGAATGACTATGTGTGTTTATTTTTCTTGATCTAAGACCCGACATAGGGTCACAATTTCATTTAGTTGCCCTGTATCACGTCTTTTATTTTAACCATTCCTGAAAATTTTTTTGTCTTTCTTAACCTGGAAACTTTTTAAGAATACAGAGCAATTACTTTCCAGAATGTCCCTCCAATCTGAATTAGTCTGGTTTTTCCTCACGATTAGGTCCAGGTTTAAGGTCGTTGTGTTTTACGGTTTTAAAAGGAACGGTGATATTTCACCAGTGTACATTTTTGGGATGAAAAGATGAGGAGAACGTCATGCTGCATAGATGGACATGCGTGGAGGGAGGTGGGTGTAGCGAAACTCGCATAAGAGGTATTCTGAGGATGCTTGTTTGCAACAAGTAAATAACTATATTCTCCCAAAATAATCCTTTTAGGGAATTCACTCGACTAATAGTGAAGGCAGGTAGATCAAGAGTTAGAGCCTTGCTATTCCCTTGAAAAGAAATCAAGTGCAGGCAGAATTCCTTCTTGTGTACAACAGAAATAAACATCTGAAGAATGGTCTCCTCTGTCTGGGGAACTCAAAATTTCTTGGTACCAGGAAACATAAACAGGCATCCTGCTCTTTTGTTGTAAAAGAGTGACTGTCTCCACATAAGACCAACATGTAAGGTGGAAGATGAAAAATGTAACCTAGCATCTAAATGCTGAGTTCTTTTCATTCTGACAATGACCAGGCACATTAAAATTTATTTGTAGTCTAGATATGGGCAATGCCTTTCGTCATTATAAACACCCAGACTTTAAAAATGAATTACTTTATTTTTTAGTTTGAATATTTTATTTTTTATCGAAGTATAGTTGATTTACAATGTTGTGTTAATTTCTGCTGTACGGCAAAGGGATTCAGTTATATATATATATATATATATATATGTTTATGTATATATGTGTATATCTATATTCTTTTTTATATTCTTTTCCATTATGGCTTATCACAGGATATTGAATATACTTCTCTATGCTATACAGTAGGACCTTGTTAGTTATCCATTCAATATATAATAGATAAATGAATGACTTTTAAAGCAAATGATAGAAAGGACTGTGCTAGTGATGTGAAACAACGGAGAGGGAAGTAAATGCTTTTGGCGTAATGCACAAAATAACTGATGGTCTTGAACGTACTAAAGTTTGAAAGTGACAAGAAAGCGTTAATCCTTTTAAGCAAGTGCCTAGGGTATACTCTGGGAAAATCTGACTGAATGAGTTACTGCTAAGCCTAAAATTAAACTCCTGGCTTTTTGTCTGGCATACGAACTGTTGGATCACATTTCTTTTCACGGATGGATACATTTTTTTTTTTAATGAATTGAGAAAAGAATCCCCAGTGGTTCCCTTTGTGTGAAGAAAAAAAGATAAATATTAGCTAGGAAAGGTCATTTTGGTTTCCAGTATGTGGGGAGTTCATTAGGATGGGTTCTGATAAATTATGCTGTGTACTTCTTTCCTATAACAGAAGGTCACATTGTGCCCTTGGGTGGACATCAGGACAAACATACTTAATAAAGTTGGAGGATCTGGGAGATGACTGTTTTCCAGTGGTTTTTTTTTTTTTTTCCGAATACCTTACAGTTATACAGTTATTCAAAGCCACTTCCCTCTAGTAGCTCTAATGACTCAAGGCCTCCCCTGTCTCTCCTGTAGCCCCTAAAGGATGGATCTCAAGTCTATCACCTAAAGTGGTCTCTAGACAAACATCTGTAATTATATTCAGGGGCATCCAAAGAAGAGAAGAATCTCAGTTGTGCTTGGTGGTGGATTTGTAATGGGTTCCACAGGATTCAATAGTAATTAGACTGTGTTGCAAGGATAATTTTTACGTCATATTTGCAACTTAAATATTTATTGTTGCCCATCATTATTTCTCTCTGATCTCCAGCCCTGGGAGAGACGTATTTAATTTAGCAACATTAAAAATGGGTAGTTTCGTGGGGTTGTTTTTTTTGTTTTCTTTTTCTTGAGATGTCTTTTGGTTTGGAGTCATCTGAATCTTTCCTGAAAAATGTTTTCACTGAGTAGAAAAGTCCTTTTAGGTCTGTGCATTAAAGGACGGTGTTGAGTGTCAATTATGGTATTAACAAGTTTTTCTGTGTTTTGGTATGGTGTTTTATGTTGGAAAGATTTTTGCCTTCTGCCTCCCATCAACATTTTTCAAAAAGCATCCTTGCAAATTGTTTTTTTTAATTTTTAATTGAAGTATAGTTGATTTACAATATCATGTGAGTTTCAGGTGTATAGCAAAGTGATTCAGTTATACATATATACATATCTATATATGTATATATATTTTTGTATATATATATTCTTTTTAGATTCTTTTACCTTACAGGTTATTTCAGAATATTGAGTATAGCTCCCTGTGCTATACAGTAGGTCCTTGTTGGTTATTTTATGCATGGTAACGTGTCTTGCAAATTGTTTAGCATCATTAGGTTTATATCACACAAACATAGGAACTCAGATCTTCACACTGGCTTTTCCACTGCTCTGTGAACTTGGGCAAGTTGTAGAACTCTTGGGATTGGATTACCTCCAATTTCATTTTCGTCGCATGGTTAATGAAATGTGAGTGAAATTTTGCATCATGAATGGTTTGGACCGTCTGTCAACTTGGGGATGCCTTTGCTCTGGGGGAATTTCTACTTTAAAACTATATTATGTTAACTAATACGTGGCTAGTTAATAAGTATAGAATTCTGTATCTTCCTCCCCTCCCCTCCGTCTCTTAGGACACTTTACAAACGTGGATGTGTTTGGCTGTCTACCGCTTGCCTGAAAATGCAGGGCGGCATTGTAAAAAAGCCACAATTTTGCTACTGGAAATCTGCATCATTTCAGCATTAAAATGCTAATGGATTCCTGTCTTTTTTGTTTTTTAAAATAGGTCTTCCAAGCTAAGATAAATTTTTGGAACTGCAGAATTGGTCCTAGCTACCGATGGGAATTTGGAGTCATTCTGAAATACATCCTGGAATAATTGTGTTTGACTGGAACCAAATCTTATGAAGTCTCCAAGGTAAAATGATTTTAACACATACCTAGAGATGATATCTTTACGAAGCGTAAAGAATTTAGCCAAACTGAGTATCTTAGAGTTGATGATCCCTTACAAAAGCCTTCTTTTTATGTTGAATTTTTGGGAATTTGGGGAGTTTAGAAAATTTTAGCTCTCATCTTTGAAATTATTTCAGTTTGTAAAGCGGTGTTTCAGCTATTCAGCAGGGTAAATGGTGATATTTTTAAGGTAAACCAATTTTGTTTTACATTTGGGCAAAATTGTTCAATGTAGCAGAAATTGACATATCACAGTGGATGTAGTAGGTGAGAAATCCTTTTCCTGGTGGAGGGGGTCCTAGATTATTGAATGAAATAAAGAATCGTTGCTCAATAGCTGCCCACTTATCCGTAGGCATTCCTCTGGGGAATCATAGCTATTGTTAAGTAAATACTTAACTTATAAATACTTTAGGCCCTGGGAACTTGTAACTATTCACCCCGTACCGGTATGTAGAATTGTCCAGGAAGAAGTTAGATCAGGAATTATCACCCGAGATTAGGAACAGTGGCCCTAGAGACTTTTGATCTGGGGTTTGCTATTGGGATCCAACCAGGAAAACAGGAACCATCCTGATAATGTGGAGCAGAGGGAAGTGAATTCAGGGAACTGGTTACACATGTGATGGGAGAGTCAGAGACGTTAAAACAGAAGATACAGAGGCAGCCCAGAGATCAGCAACAGCAGGAAGCTTCTGCCATCCTGAGGCTGGTGGGACATAGGAAGGCAGTACTGCTGACCAGTGCTTAGGGGAAGGGACCTTCAGCGGGAGCTGGATCCATAGTGGGCCCTTCTCTTGGAAACTGACACTGTGGAGGAGAAATGGCCACTCCATAGAACCTACCAAGACAGAGAAGGTGGGGAGAAATACCCTGCCCTTTCCCTTCCACCCTCCAGGCTCCAGCCAGGGTGTCCTATTGGTGAAGCCCAGCCAGGAGCCAGGTGATTCAGGAGGGTGGGAAATGCAGTGTATAGGTGTTACCCAGGGGAAGGGGAAAGAATGGTTCTGAGGGCAAAACAGGCCCAGGCTGGCATAGAGTTTATATTTGAAACCTCTTCCCATGACATTTTAATGAGCATGGCACAGGCTTTTCTACCTCAGAGGATGAGTCTTCTCTTGAGGCTGATTCTCACAGCCCCACCAAGTAAATTATGCATATGCCCTGGAATCTTCTGTCTGAAGATGGACAGTAGTGGTCTGTGATGCACTGCCCAGAACCCCCTTCAGGAATGAAGGATTTATTCCCTCAACTGTTGGAAGTATTACAGAAGATGGCCTACAGCTTCTTTGAATCGTCCTCAATTCAGAGAGCCTCCTTCTTGCTGGGGGACTCGCCCAGTGATCCAGTGGTTAAGACTTCACACTTCCAATGCAGGGGGCGCAGGTTCAATCCCTGGTCAGGGAGCTAAGATCCCACATGCCATGTGGTGTGGCCAAAAACAAACAAACAAACAAAACGAAGAGCCTCCTTGCTGAAGATTTAAGATTTTCCCTTATGTACAAGTATAAAGGCCTGGGCCCTCACTCCAACTTGGTACTGCGGAGAAGGGGCGTCTGAGCTTTGGAACTCTCCATAGGGTTATCTGAGGCTGTTTCCTCCTTCTGTCCTGCCTTGTTCGCGCCCCTTCCCTTCCACAGGTGATTCCCCCTAGAGCATCCTTTAAATAACCCCCTGCTCATCAATTTCCATCTCACAGTTGGCCTCCCAGGGTAACCAACCTTTGAGACTCAGATCATCTCAGACATACTCTCCAGATTTGGTAAACTCCTTTCAGACAAGTTTAGGTGATGCAGTGACTGATAAACACATGGAAACTGAATTTCACTTACACTTTAGGTGGGAGGGAGTATGGCTCACCTGAAAGACCTAGTCTGAATTTAGAGACTCTAAATTGGGTGGGGCACCGTGGTTAGAGGGAGGGTAGCCAACCCACCAAGCAGGAAAAAGTGGAGGATAGAAAAGTTAAGAAGCCAGTAGGAGACCCGTTGTTTTAAACTATTAAACTTGGCAGATTTGTTACACAGCAATAGAAGCCTAGTACTCCATTCATCTGACTCTTTGAAAGTTTGCTTTTTGGGCCACTAATTGCTACAAACTGGAAACCAGGGTACCTGGTCCAGCTTGCAAATGTGTTTTGTTCAGTCTGCACTGTGAGTTTTTTTAAATTTATTTAAAAATCTATTTATTTATTTTTATTTTTGGCTGTGTTGGGTCTTCATTGCTCTGTGTGAGCTTTCTCTAGTTGCAGTGAGCGGGGGCTACTCTTCGTTGTGGTGCGCGGGCCTCTCATTGCGGTGGCTTCTCTTGTTGCGGAGCACGGGCTCTAGGCGCGCAGGCTCAGTAGTTGTGGCTCGTGGGCTCTAGAGCGCAGGCTCAGTAGTTGTGGCGCACGGGCTTAGTTGCTCCACGGCATGTGGGATCTTCCTGGACGAGGGCTCGAACCCGTGTCCCCTGCATTGGCAGGCAGATCCTTAACCACTGCTCCACCAGGGAAGCTCTGCACTGTGTTTTTAAAACAAAGAAAATGGGGCTTCCCTGGTGGCGCAGTGGTTGAGAGTCTGCCTGCCGATGCAGGGGACACGGGTTCATACCCCGGTCCGGGAAGATCCCACATGCTGTGGAGCGGCTGGGCCCTTGAGCCATGGCTGCTGAGCCTGCACGTCGGAAGCCTGTGCTCCGCAACGGGAGAGGCCGCAGCAGTGAGAGGCCCGCGTACCGCAAAAAACAAACAAACCAACCAAACAAACAAACAACAAAGAAAATGGAATTACTTGACATATAAAGTGTGTAGACTGCGTATCAGAAAACGGCTTTTCTTTAAAAGTCGTTCCTGGCATCACTTGGAGCAGCTGCTCCTAGATAGGTCTCTATACTATCTACTGTTCACCAATGCTTTTGACCCAGGCAGGCTCCACATTTATTTGGAGATATTTGAATTTTTCATCCTTGAGTAGAGGGATAAGCCTTTGTAACAATTAGATCAATAACTGATATTGGGGTTAACAGCTGAAATTTTAAAACATTATCGGTGAGATAGAGCATCTCATTCAAAAATTCAGCAAATGTGGAATTCTGAACCTGCATGCTTTCCCTGTTAGTAATAAATTAATAATCAATTTCCTGAAGGGAAAATGTAATTAAACAATAGCACCTCAAGCTCACATAGGCTTACGTGTATATACTTTGCCACCTTTCAAACTGATCCTAGGGTTTCTACTTACCATGTGTGTGTGCCCAGGTGGGGGAGACAGAAGATATGCTTTGTAAAATTAAGGCATGTGCAGGCCCTTCAAAGCAAAGAGACCCTATGTTTCCAGGTCAGTTTAAAATTTTCAGGGTTTCCAAGGCAAGGGGCAAAAAGATGTCAAGCTTTGAGTCCCTTTGAACACCGTGCTCTTCAAAGATAATCGTAGAATCTTGTCTTACTGTGGCTGCTTCAAAGGCAGATTGAGTCTCAAATCAGGGAGCAATACGAAATCTTTCAACAAGATCTATTTGACTAACTTGTGAGAGGCCACAACCTACTTCCCAGAGTGTGATGTGGGCACCAGGTACCCAAGGCTGTGCCTTCCCTTGAGCATGGAATCATGGTTCTGGTTGAGGCACTGTGCGGCTGACAGCCATGGGGTGGCTAGACCCTTCCTTCCAGGATTTCCTCAGAAGCTTTGCCTCTAGTGTTACCCAAACAGGGATCCATCCCCATGGGCCATGTCTTTATTGTCTGCCCATGAGTGCTTATACATCTTGTGTATATGAAAAGGGGGTTCCTTTGATCCTCTGTGGTGGCTCTTTTATCCTAAATACCATGAGCCATGTGCCAGGCAGAACCTAGTATCACTGGAGTTTCAAATGCCAAGAACTCCAACTCTTGCTTGAAAAAGTTAATAAAAAAAAAAAAAAAAAAAAAAGCAAACATAAAAGTTAATCAAGTGCTATCTAATTTCCCTATAATATCAAAAAGGGCAGAAAGTTAGGGAGGTGGGGGTGGAATGCATACTGGCTATTTTCTTTTTACTTTTTTTTGGGGGGAGGAGTTGTTTTAGAGTAGACCACACAACCATATCTGTGAACTGAATTGTCTTTGAGCAACTGTCTGGGTACTGTCCATTCATATGAGGTGAAGTTTATTTTTCCAGGTTTATTGAGATGTAATTGACACATAACACTGTGTATGTTTAAGGTGTACAATGTGTTGATTTAATGTTTGTCAGTTGCAAAATGATTCTCAGCTACCACCTTCCTACTATCACATAGTTACCTTTTTTTTTTTTTTGGTGGTGAGAACATTTTTCTTAGCAACATTCAAGTATATGATATAGTATTATTAACTATAATCACCATGCTATACATTAGATCCCCAAACTTGTTAATCATGTAACTGAAATATTTGACCTTTGACTAATATCTACCCATTTCCCTCACCCTCAACCCTTCGTAACCACCATGCTAATTAACCTGTTTCTCTGAGTCTGTCTTTTTTAGATTCCATATGTAAGTGAGATCATACAGTATTTGTCTTTATCTGACTTATTTCGCTTAGCAGTAATGCCCTCAAGGTCCATCTAAAATTTTGTATATGGCAAGATTTCCCTTTTTCTCATTGCTGAATAATATTTCATCATATCTATCTCCCATCTTCTTTATCCATTTATCTGTTGATATCTGTATGAAGTTGTTTCTGTATTCACCTGTACTTGCTCGTATTCCCATCAAACTTTGAGATTGGATTAATAAACTATTCAGCCAGTCTTCCAGGCAGAGGGCATTAATAAACAGTCAGAGAAACCAGGGGAAATCTCTCAAGCCTGGTGTGAAAGTTTCTGTGGTTTCTTTCAGATGAGGAAACCACATATCTTCTGTTTGAATCCAGCTCTAAGTATGTCGCTTTTTAAATTTCATGCTATAAAATAGTATATAACCCCCATGTTCTATCAGGGCCACTCAGGCTACACTCTAGGGATTCATAAATAGACCTCTAACCGGGGGATATGGGGATATACGTATGCATATAGCTAATTCACTTTGTTATACAGCAGAAACTAACACAACACTGTAAAGCAATTATACTCCAATAAAGGTGTTAAAAAAAAAGGTATTTGTTGAAAACTGAGTGAATTCACAGTGCAAACAAGGTTTGATTGGCCTTCAGTTTCCTTGTGGGGGAAGAAGCCCATAGTTGAGCATCTTCCATTGCTTTCCCCACCTTCTCAGGATGGTGTTTGCAGAAAAGCCTTGTGTCGCTCAGCCCTCACTAACTGCGTCCTGCTTTCTTTCCAGGATGAGAGTCTGTGCTAGGTCAGTCTTGCTGTCTCACTGGCTCTTTCTGGCCTATGTGTTAATGGTGTGCTGTAAGCTGACGTCTGCCTCCAGCCAGCATCTCCGGGGACACGCAGGTAAGCCCTTTAAGCTCGTTAAGCACCACTGAGATCCAGTAATAAAACCCTTTCAAACACCAAAGCCCACATTTTATTTTATTATTAAAAAAAATTTTAAATTTAATTTAATTTATTTATTTTTGGCTGCATTGGGTCTTCGTTGCTGTGCGTGGGCTTCCTCTAGTTGCAGTGAGCAGGGAGCTACCCTTCACTGTGGTGCACAGGCTTCTCATTGTGGTGGCTTCTCTTGTTGTGGAGCACGGGCTCTAGGCGTGTGGGCTTCAGTAGTTGTGGCACGTGGGCTCAGTAGTTGTGGCCCGCAGGCTCTAGAGCACGGGCTTATTAGTTGTGGCACATGGGCTTAGTTGCTCCGCGGCATGTGGGATCTTCCCCGACCAGGACTCGAACCCGTGTCCCTTGCATTGGCAGGTGGATTCTTAACTACTGTGCCACCAGGGAAGCCCCCTAAGCCCACATTTTAGACACAGGTAATTGACAAAAGCTTTTGATGGTGTGTAACTAACCAGAGGAAGCATGAAATACAACAGGGTAAAGCAGTTTAAGAGTTTGATGCTTAAAGAGTGTTGTTCCAGACACCTATCTAAAATGTTCTCCAGGTTTTTCCTTTTTTACCTTCTCGTTTCCTGAGTACACTTCCATTTTTTCAGTGATTTTTCTCAAAGAATCCTGGAAAACCAGCAGCACTTTGTGATTATATACTCCAGCTTCCTTTGAAGGCAGAACATCTTCATTAATAAACTTAAATGAACACTTCCAGGGCTATAGTGAAGGGAGCTTTCAGATAATTTTAAGACCCCTTTAAGAAAAGATGGTGAATGATTGAAAAAGAAGAAAGGAAGAAAAGAAAAAAAAAAAGCGGTGGTAACTTTTACACAGGGCCTAAAATAGAATGTCTGACGTTTTAGAGAATCATTCTGTTAATTTCTAGTGAGACCCATGGCTGTAGTTGCTTATTTCTAAAGAAAGATGAAAATAATCAGTAAAGTATCTGTGTGTGTATGTTCATGTGTGTTTCTTGTCCCCTTTCCTTGTTACATCTACATTTACAGTGACACAGACTTGGAAACTCCCCCGAGAATTGTGTTTTCCTGAATAATTCATATTTGTCAGTGGACTTGTTGTCAAGCAATGAATTTGCTGTCTCTGCTTCAGTAATTGGAGGTGTGGCAGTGCCAGGCATGCTTTGACTTTTTAGTGAAAGAGTGAAGCTTGAACCCTAAACTATGTATGCATCAGGATTGTAAAGTCTCTCTCCAAGAAAGTATGTAGAGAAGTTTGTTAGTTGTCCTTACCCTCAGATATACAGCAGGTGAAGCTCTCTACTTAGTTATTCTGATAAGTTAAGGTTAAGATTTAATTTTAGGCTTAAGTTTTTTTTTTTAATAAAGTTATTTGTTTATTTTTGGCTGCATTGGTTGTTCGTTGCTGACGCAGGCTTTCTTTAGTTGCAGCAAGCGGGGGCTACTCTTCATTGCGGTGAGTGGGCTTCTCATTGCGGTGGCTTCTCTTGTGGCAGAGCACGGCCTCTAGATGCACGGGTTTCAGTAGTTGTGGCCCGTGGGCTCAGTAGTTGTGGCTCGCAGCCTCTAGAGCGCAGGCTCAGTAGTTGTGGTGCACGGGCTCAGTTGCTCCATGGCATGTGGGATCTTCCTGGACCAGGGCTCGAACCTGTGTCCTCTGCATTGGCAGGCGGATTCTTAAACACTGTGCCACCAGGGAAGTCCTAGGCTTAAGTTTTTAAACTCTCTCATGACTCGGTTGTCCTTAAGCAATAGTTTCAAGAAGACAAGAAAATTAATGATTGAAATTTTAATGAATCAGCATAAAATCAATACCATTTGGCTGCTGTGAAAGTGCCCAGGGCTAGTTGGTTATTGTGTTGTGTATATTTTGATGAGCTTGCTCTCAAGGATAGAGCATTTGAAGTCATCAGTGTTATCTGTTTGATACACATCTCGTTTCTTGGGTGCAGGTAGAGAGTCAGGCTAGGAAAGAAGCAAAGCATTTCGGGGTGGGGGGTTATCACCAGCACATTTCCAGATGTCAGAAGATTATGATGAAAAATGATTAAACTTGGAGGAAACAGGGGACATGACTGAACCTTCAATATTTCTTTATTTTCAATATTCATTTATTAAAAGGCATTACACTTTGGTTTTTTTTCTTCCAGGTTAGATTACTTATTTTTATCACCCCTCCGCACCCAAGATATACACACTGGTAGTCTTTTTTTTCTTCTTTTTTAAAAATTTTTATTGGAATATAGTTGATTTACAATGTTGTGTTAGTTTCAGGTGAATCTGTTATACATATACATATATCCACTCTTTTTGTAAATTCTTTTCCCATACAGGCCATTACAGAGTATTGAGTAGAGTTCCCTGTGCTCGACAGTAGGTTCTTATTAGTTATCTGTTTTATATATAGTAGTGTGTATATGTCAATCTCAATCTCCCAATTTATCCCCCCAGCCCCCCACCCCCCGACATTGGTAGTCTTTATGCGAACCTTCACTTTTAAATCTTTGTGGCAATCCTCATTTCATACCATAACCCTTTAAATTTGGAAAACGTGGAACTGTAGTGATAAATCTAAATTAAGATTAGAATTGTGTACACAAGAGATGCAGTGTCTTCCATATAAGCAAAGACCCTCCTGCAACAGGGAGGGTGAGAAGTCTGAGCAAAGCCTTGGCAAGTTTTGCGCAAGAAATGAAATTTTCATCTTAGAATTTCTAGATGATTTTATTTGGATTCTCAGCCCATTTTTGGTTTCTTTTTGTCTTTTGGGGGATTCTTCCTGCTTTCGTTTTTGGAACTTAAGTCCTTCTCACCCCTTATCTTAACAACCCTCAAAGCAATCAGGACTGGTTCCTGCCCACAAGGGGCTCTCCTCTCTCACTGGGGCTGCAGGCTGCATGAAGAACCATCTTTACAGAAGTACAGCCATGCCTCATTTTATTGCACTTAGCTTCTTTCTTACACTTTCCAGATCTTGCATTTTTTACAAATCCAGCGTCTTTTGGTGCCATTTTTCCAACAGCCTTTGCTCACTTCACGTCTCTGTGTCACATTTTGGTGATCTTCGCAATATTTCAGACTTTTCCATTTGTACTCTATTCGTTGTGGTGATCTGTGATCCGTGATATTTGATGTGACCCTTGCAAAAAGATTATGGCTCGTTGAAGTTTCAGATGATGGGTAGCATTTACAGCTTTGAAGTATTTTAAAATTAAGGTATGTGTATTGTTTTATCAGACAGTATCCTATTGCATACTTAATTGACTACAGTATAGTATAAACATCACTTTTACATGCACTAGGAAACCCAAAATTTCACATCTTGCTTTATTGCGATATTCCCTTTATTGTGCGGGTCTGGAATCAAATTGGCAAATTCCCTGAGGGCTGCCTGTACCCTTTGCATAACCGCAGATGAGGGCTCCTGAATCCTACTGTGAAGTCTTACTCCCTCGCGGGTTTCTTAAGCTGTGTCCTTGATGCCTGGAATATAATGGGTGCTAAATAAATATTTATTAATAGGCTCATTTTGCCCATTTGTCACCCTGTGATCAATTACATAGTTTTCTCCTGGTGGTAAAAATTCCGAAACATAATAGGCAGGTGTGAAAAGATAGGCTTTTAACTTTTTGTTGACTATTAGGGGTCTCCAGAGAAACAGAACCAACACAACTAGTTTATTATTGATATAAGGTATTGGCTCACACAGCTATGGAGGTTGAGAAGTCTCATGACCTGCAGTCTGCAAGCTGGAGACCCAGGAAAACCGATGATGTGGTTCAAAGGCCTGAGAGCCAGAGAGGCAATGGTGTAGATTCCAGCCTGAGTCTGAAGGCCTGAGGTCCAGGAGTGCAGAGGGCAGGAGATGGTCAATGTCCAGCTCAACAGTCAGGCAAAGAACAAATTCAACCTTCTTCTGCTTTTTTGTTCTATTCAAGTCCTCACGGGATTGGATGAGGCTCACCCACAATGGGGAGGGCCATTGGCTTCACTCAGCCCCCAGCTCAAATGCTAACCTCTTCCAGAAACACCTTCACAGACACATACAGAAATAATGTTTAAGCAGATATCTGGGTGTCCCCTGGCCCAGTCACATTGTTAATTTCATATAACCTTCTAGGTATTGTTTTATATAGTCATCTATATTTTATATATTTTCTATACTATTTTAGATTTTATGTATCCACACACCTATCCTTCTAGAAAAAGGCATGTATATACCAGTATGTGTGTATGCACAGATGTCTCTTTGTGCACCCTGTTTTGTACCTTGATTTTTTTTTCTCCATTTAACAATAAAGTTTAGAGTTCTTTTCATGTGAGTGCGTGCAGATCTATATCACTCCCTGTAACATTGCATAGTCATGTATTGTATGGATGTGCCCTAAGTTATTTGATCACTCCCAGTTTTGGTGGACATATAGCTTGTTACCATATTTGTACAAATATATGTGTCCTGACTTCAGATGAATTCCTAATAGTGAAATTGCTGAATTAAAGTGCATGTAAATGTATGGGAGTAGACTAATTTCTGTGACACGTAGACCAAGTAAATATACATAATGGCTTAAATAAGAGAAATTGTATTTCTTGCTCATGAGTGCTGGGTGGGTGATGTGTCAGCTGGATGTTCTCGTCTACTGTGATCTTTTTGGAACCACAGTGGATGGAAGTTCTACTGTTTTCAACCCATGGCCTTAAAGGTTGTTCTAGAGTGGTCTTTATTCCAGCCAGCTGGAAGGGAAATGGGCATGGAGGATACACCTGGGAGGTGTTGATGAACGGGGTTAGATGCTGACTGCATCCCTTGAATTATCCTGCCATTGGCTGCAGCTGAGGCCCATAGCCACACCTTACTGCCTGGGCTGCTGGGAAACATACCCTAGCTGTGGGCCCAGTTCAAAGAGGAGACAATGATTTTTGGTGAGTATCCTGCAGCTTTTAACACAACGCATTAAGGTTTTAATAGTGCAAAGT